GGGGATGATCATCTGCATAGATAGGGAGTTGAATGTGAGAGTAACTGAAGATATATGGCTACTTTCCATTAAGAATGAATAAATGGATCAATGAATCTCCATTCACTTTTTGCTGTGTTCACTCTCACCATGATTAATAATAACTCTCCCCATTATATTATTTCAATATGGTAAATTATCTTTATTCACATCATTGAAATATCAAAACAATATGCAACTAGGTTTCCTATTCATATCAGCAGATGGTTCTTGGATTTACATGAATAGCAAAATCACCTTTTGATAGCAATGTGCACCATTTGCTATCAAATGCTCACCATTTCAATAGCACTTAAATGCACATGTCCATATCAACACTATACATACCTGAGATCACAAAAATGAGACAAAACTTCTAGAGCTTTAGATAGACACTTCATATTTTTTTATTAAATTACTCAAGAAACCGGGAAAATTACGAAAAGGACTGCATCCACCTGTACCTATGATCCGCTGCAACTACGCACGAAGAAATAACGCGAATATCCGGGGTATGTCCACCGAACCTACTCGGAGGAATCTCAGGAGGATGTCCAGCGGATGATCTGGAGCCGTTGCATTTGGATATCCGCGTCATGTACCGAGCGGATGTCCCACGTACGTCTGAACGTCCGGTGCGGATATTCCGCGATCGTACGGAGGATATCTAATGCTACCTGGGCTGCAAGATACCAATAATGAACACGCATGGAATAATATGCGGACTATAAATGATGGAAAGTAAAACTAAGCAAAACAAGGAGTTTTTTTTATGCATGCGCAGAAATCATTTTTCGGTCATGTTTGATGCAGGCACTCACCTGCTCAGTCTGGCTCTTTTAGCATTCATTGAGCACCATGTTTTGGCATAATTATATGTTGGAGTTGCTTGCCTTAATGTATCATTTTTCTTTGATGTCCAATAAGTGCTGCAAGAAGGAGCATGAATATGCTTCCTTGTCAATGTCCCTGGGTTAGTAATTTATCACATCAAGGCTCTTCAAATTTTTTCCTTAAGATTCCAATTACACCCAAGTGTCATCACCTTAACCCTAACCCTAAATCAAATCAAACTCTCCTGAAATTTAATTAGATGGCAGATACTTAAGTTGAATGTAAACCCTTTTGAAAGGGTGAATCCAGCTATTTAGCTGCTATTTAGTGAACTACTCATGTATGAAATGGATTGTCTTCCCAATTTTTTAAAAATTTTCTGTAACCGAGTATGGGAGTGAAATTCAAATATCTCTCATTCATGCAAAGGAGGATTGGGAAAAGGAAAACCACTCCTGAAAATGTTGGTGAAAGAAATGATCCCTTGTGGCTCGTTTGGCTAAAAATGTGTCTTATGCGAGACATGTGGTGCAGGACATGAATGAATAACCATATGCATGCATTCTTTGCATTGGGTGTCTTCCCCACATTGTTTTAAAATATACATGCAATCTGAAGCTCCGCACCATGTTTCTTGGTCACAAAAGGCATGTTCTTCATTGGACAATTTTAGTATTCAGCATTGACATTTTTTCCTGCCTATTTCTAACCATTCTTGGTTAATTAATAAAATTACTGAATCACTTGGTGTGGTTTATTTTATGGTTTCATGAGTTTCATACTGGCCCGCGAAAGACGCGGTTTTGTGCTTCGTATGTTGCGTGTGCATCTGCAAAGAGGTCTTTTTCGGAATTTTGGCGGCTAAAGAATTGGATGCAGACGTCGTTGACACAACAACGCCTGACAAATGTCGCATTCATGCATGCACATCGATACATTTTGAACTCGGACTTAGATAAATTGATTAAATATTTTGCAAAGAAAACCGAGGAAAGGAGAAGATTTACATTCTAGTTTTGCATGAATTTGATATCCTGATCGTGTTTCAATCAAACTCTTCCGATTTTCGGAACTCACCTATCTCATTTGCCCCCCCCCCCCTCCAATTTTCGAGGACGTTCCTACGCCTATGATAGGTCCAATGAGAAACATATACGATTCTTATAGGAATCTCATGGACTCCATATAGGAATGCGAGCTTTCTATAGGAACCCTAAAGGATTTCTATATATTCCATTAGAATTCCTAAAGGACATTTGCATAAGGGAAAGGGGTTAATTTGAAAGGTAAACTCGTGGCAGGTAAACCTGCTGCAGTCCGGAGGAAACGAAGCGCTGTTGTTCGACGAGTAACCATGATCACGAGAGACTACCACTGTCATCGGTGCTTTCCGCCGTATTCGACTACACACCCTCCCGATGCTGGCGCACGACTGGGAGACAGAAAGCGCGGGAAACGAACCTCGCAAGTGTGGACGAGTCTTGATTCCAGAAGCATGAACGGCCGGCTGCGCGCATCGGCGAGGACGACTGAAGGAAGGCGAGGTACATGCACGACACGGCAGTCACGATCCGCGAATCACCTTATTTACGGCTAGCTCCCGTCTCCCATATGGTATACTTTTGCTGATATTTTTTTTGCAATCTTCCGATGCAACTACAACACGGTAAACAATTTTAAGAAACCAACTGGGATGGTTGTCACAAATCGGTTCTCATCCGTCGCGCCGCTGCGAAAATAGCTGGTCGACTGGGAAACGCAACAGCGACTTAAACCAATATTCTGCCGCCTTCCGCTTCCGTCGAGGTCACGATGGGATACGTGCATAAATCGTGACGTGGAACGCGTGAAGTTCTCGACCTGAATGTGCCACTTTCACGCGATAGAAGGTACGGTCTGGGAAAATTCGCAGCCACCCTCATGAGATGGTGATAAGATATAATAAAAGTTGGCTATGGGAAGTCGGCCTATGTCCGTTCCACGGCCCGATGCAGTGCTCGGTCTCGACGCGTGTCTCGTTCTTTCGTGCTTGTGCGAACCGACTCGAGTCGCC